CGTGAGACCCGCGGAAGACGCGAGGACCTCTGAGCAACGTAGCTTCCTAATCTGAGCGGGTAAAATGTAATTAAAGAGTTAAAAAGAATAATCAAACATTCGCTCTCCATTCCATGGGAGCTGTTTTAGCCTCACAACAGGATTCAGTAACTCTGAACTTTGAACAAAATTTCTCCAAATTGCAATGATCCTGTTTGTATTTTCAAATTTGTAATTGTGCGTAACACATTGTGCCCATAGAACACAGTTTATAGTTGTTTGTGCTACTACATGTGCACATAGGCTAATTAAGTTTATTCTTTAAAGCACATGATTGCTTTACTGTATGAAACACTTAGGTTGAAAGGTTGTAGATGCTATGCATTCTAGGCCATGTATCTTGTGTAAACTGGAATAATTGTTGTACTGATTGCATAGCAATTTCAAGTTGCATGTATGACTATGTTAAATTTGTTTGTCTCCTTGTTGGAAAACCAGTAAAACCAGGTACAGGAGCATAGAATTGCCATGTGGTTACAATGTGATTCACAAATGCATTAACCATGAAAATGCTTTACAAATTAAATCTACCACATCCCGCAAATCAGCTAAAATGGCCACTTTGCCTTCAAATAGTATTTAAAGAGACTAAATGAAACGAAAAGGCATTTGAAATCTAACAAAGAAAAAAGAGAAACAGCGAATGTGCATGTCATCAGCCCTGAGCCAAAAAAAACCTTTTCATATTGAAATGTATTGGCATAAGAAGGAGCAGAGAATTTGACCATGCATTTAGCATGTGCTTGCGGTTCATTAGGTGTTATCAACAACAGAGTTCCTCATTGGCTTTCAGCCTGACCGCTGTTGTACATACAATGCACTGGCCAGTACAGCTGCGACTGCAGGGCCAAATCAAAATAATCGTCTTTTGCAAAACGAACACTTTGACAAAGACTCTTCAGAGACCAGAAATAATATTATTTAATTTATATTCTTTTAAATATAATTTGTATTATAGCTCAAATTATAATATACATTATGTTATGATCGCCAAGCAGGGGATTAATTGGAGAAGTGTGACATTAATCCTTACAATTCGATTTCATTGGCCTGCTACCCAGTGCCAAAAGGGGAGGGGATGTGCTTTTATTTTTGCCTTTACAAAAACACGGCTAGAAGTGTGGCACAGGTAATAGCAAACCAAATCATCCTTGATTGGGGTGCACCAACTAAAATTGAATCTGATCAGGGAAGTAAATTTACAAGGAGGGTGTGAAATGCTAAACATCAGGCAGAAGTACCACAGCCTTTTGCAGGTCACAAGAGATCTGCACTAACCAATGTGTGAAAGACACCACAACACAGCAAATGCTAAGCAGGCAACAGCGATACAGGTGAACTAATTTCTGCCCACAGATCTGGCTGTAATGAGAGCTACTTGAAGTAAAGCCATGGGCATCAACTCATTGGAACTCATGCCACCATGAGTGATAAAAACTCTGATTAATCCAGAAAAAAACTGGGGTCTACACTGAAACAACAGCAATAATTCAGACCTGGTCTGACACACATAGCAAGCATACGCTATTCACAACACTCTGCCAAAAACACTGTAATATACCAACACATTCTCATCCTTTGGCGTCATATAGGTGACGCCATATGACATTTCGTCGAAATCTTACACACATGGCATCCTTTAGCGTCAATATAACACGCACTGTTATGGGTAGGTTTAGGTCTGGGGTAGGGTACGGTTATGACGCCTTGGGATCTGCGTCTCATATTGACGCTAAACGATGCCATGTGCGTTGGATTTAGACGAGCGTCACCTGTATGACGCCTTGGGTTCTGCGTCTCATATTGACGCTAAACGATGCCATGTGCGTTGGATTTAGACGAGCGTCACCTGTATGACGCCTTGGGTTCTGCGTCTCATATTGACGCTAAACGATGCCATGTGCGTTGGATTTAGACGAGCGTCACCTGTATGACGCCTTGGGTTCTGCGTCTCATATTGATGCTAAAGGATGCCATGTGCGTAAGATTTCGACGAAATGTACAAAGCGTCACATGTATGACGCCAAAGGATGAGAACGGGCTGAATATACATATGAATGGCTACAGTCATTATAAAGCAGACAGAACTGCTATTAAATTTCAAAATGTTTAAACTTTCTCGTTGTTATTAGGGTGGTTGGAAAATCAGAGGGCCCCTGATTTCTCAACATACTAACAGAGACATCATAAAAAACAGATAGATCTGAAGTGTGAGCGCTTCAATCAATTACAAAATTTACAATTTAACCCTGTCATCGACTGTGACTTAGCCAGCATCACACACACACACGCACACCAACACACCAAGTCACTTCTTAGATCTGCATAGGTGGGTAGCATTGGGAGATTCCTAAACAAACACAGTCATTATTATATATTTCTTCATAGTTTTTGATTACATTTTTCTATTGATCTTACATGATTTATTGATGCATATAATCTATTGGATTGTTTAGATTATACTGACCTCTTGCTGCATTTCCTTTGGGTATTTCAGGCTCACATTTAATGATGCACAGATGTCATTAAAACCTTTTCATTTATGGAGTCAGATGAAATAACGAGTTAATACATGAGAAAATTTATTTCATTTAATCAAATTACTTTGCCACGCGGAAAGACAGTAACACGCAGAGACCTTCTCCCGCTGATCGAATGCCGGCATTGGATCGATTGAGTCTGGCTTACAAATTTAAAGTATAGTGTATGCATTACAGCATGCTTGGAACTTTTTGGATAAGAGTGTTGTGTTTGTTTTTTATGTGGTCATGGTAAACCATCTAACTGTAAAAACAGCGGAACTATGTCTGAAAATATCTGCATAATAATTGTATGTGAAGACGACAACATTATTCACTTCTGTTTTTCCTTGAATTACAGATTGTACTGCTTTAGGTAAAGATGTTATATACATTTTTGAGATTATTACATTTTTTAAAATTATTAAAAAAAGGTAGCTCTTTATTTTACAGTGTCCTTGTTACATGTGCATGTAGTTATAGTAATTACTATACATTGTGCATAATTGCAGGCAACTATAACCACACCCTAACCCTATAGTAAGTACATGTGGTTAATTAGTATTATTCAGTACTTAAATGTATAATTTGTACATGTAACACGGAGACCTTAAAATAAAGTGTAACCAAAACAATGAATTATTTATATATTAGTTTAAGATAAAATGTTAAAGAGAAAATACTAATCATAATAAAATCCAATGAGGAGACATACAGAAAATATAATGCTTAAAGATTTGGGAATGTCTTTCTAAAAAAAAGAAAAGAGCGAGACTCATGTAAATTGTCTTCATAGTGTCTTTGTGTGTGTTTGTATCTGCAGCACTCAAGATGTATCATTCCGTTCATGGTTTTTCTGTTCATAACGGATGAACTACCTGGTATCTATAGGTGAGTTCCTTGTGCTGTCTAACTGAAAATAAAATCATCAGAAAGCTTTAGACCGGTTGTAAGAAAATTAATTTAGCTTTAATTTTTGTACCCTGTATTACACTCATTTTGCAAAACTATCTTGTTTTTAATTTTTATCTTATTATTTTATCTTGTTTTGTTTTTTGTTTTTGATTTTAAGGTGTTTGTATGTTTACATTGCTTTTCTGGATATGGCTTTATGGAGCCAGATTAGTATTATTAAAGTCAACATGAAACACAAGTTGTGATAGTCTTTTCTATGTGGCGTATATCGTCGCTGTTGAGCGGAAACCTTGTATTTCCATATTTCGTAATTTTTATTTGAATCATTACTGTTGGTCACCCTGTACGTCTGTCTGTGGATTTTGCAAATATCTGACCAATGAAAAGTATTAAAAAGAGCTTGTGACTAAACCTCTAACTCCATTGGATCCTCCATCTTTTGGTAAAGCCTCATAACTCCACCCGTCTATCGTGAAACACGCAGTTTGGAGGCAATTTTTTTTTTTTGCAGTGCAAGGGTAAATAAAGAACTGTTAGTTTGAATACACATAGTGTGCTTTCTTTAATCAAAAAACACTATATATATTATATATATAAAGGTATTTGAGGAACAGAGAAGAGTGTCTTAGTCTAGCATAGCCATAATGGCATGAAATTTTGGCCAAATGACAGAAAACACTGAGCACCCACATAGTTACAGTAAACTTTATAACCTGTAAGTTGATGAAAATGTAATGTGATGTACTTACTGTCTCAGATGCGGCTGTTCTAATGACGGACAAAACACGCATGTCCAAACATCTCTGAAATTCTCTGGTTAAAAACCTCATCACTTAATTTAAGCTTGACTTTGATCAAATGTTAATAATATAATGACACATGCAAGTGTCTGACCATATAAAGCCACAATATCAACTTTGAAAACAGTTCCCCTTCGTCAGTCACTACGAGTAGGTCTAGATTGACGAATGGGGATCGTTTGCGAGAGCCTATCTACTTCGAGTGAAACTAAACGAGCCAATGCACATTGGCATGCGATAATTGCACCAGCTGCTGTGCATCGGGGTGCGAGCATATAATGAGCACCAGATGCCTCGCATCCATGTCTTTCGCTTCGGAGACAGACAGTGAATGCTTTTCCTGTCTCCTGCAAGATTTCTACACGGTGATTATCGAGTCTCTGTGAAGACTGCGTGGTGTTGGTGTGACGGCGCAAACAGCGGTGGTCGCTATCTCTCCGTGTCAACAGTTTGAGAGCAAAAACAGCTGTTTTCACAGCTTTGTTGGTTCGGTGGGCGTGACACTGAGAGTGAGTGCTCACACAGGATTGGACTATTCTCCTTTGTGTATCCGCGGCTATTCCGCTGTGCGTCTCAGCACCTGAAAGAGCTAACACGATCTGTCTGCGTCTTTTCCAAGATGTCATTCAGATCGTGTGTTTCTGGATGCGGCCAATGTTCGACTCCGGCTGACAGACACGAGCGTTGTATCACGTGCTTGGGCTATAGGCACTTTGAAATGGTAGGGATGACGACTCGGCTGCGCTGCCTCCTTCAGGTGTGCCAGCGTTGCCCGAGTCAGACCCAGAGTTCACGGCTATGCTTTCTCCGGCCGCCGCAAGTGTCAGGCTCGAGTGGAACCCTCCACCGTGTCCCGAACCTTCGCGGCTGGACGATTGGTATCTCGGGTATTCTCAGCGCCCCGCCCCAGTGCCTTTCTTTCCAGAAGTGCATGAAGAGGTTACCAGAGCATGAACGGCACCTTTTTCTGCCCGAAACCGTTCTGGTGCCTCTTCTTCCCTCACTACCCTCGACGGCGGAGCAGCTAAGGGTTACGTGGAGATCCCCCCAGTGGAGCGGTCTGTGGCAATGCAGCTGTGTCCCAAGATCGCTACCTCCTGGCGGGGAAATCCGCACCTCCCCTCCCGGGCATGTCCAGGAGCGACACCTGTGGCTGTGTTCCTCCAGCCGATATGAAGACAGGGTTATACAACCCCTACTTCATTGTACCCAAGAAAGGCGGTGGGTTACGGGATCTCTTATCTCGGTATAGAGTTGGACTCGGTCAACCAGACAGTGCGACTCTCAGAGGTGCGCGTCCGGTCAGTGTTGAACTGCTTGAGTACAATTGGCTTTATGCCACAGCTTCACTACTTCCTGAACTTCAGCCAGCCCTTTGTTTCCTGTCTGCCATTATTGGACAAACTGATTAATCCAGGTGTGCCTGGCCTCAGTAACAATAATCAGGCACACCTGGATTAATCAGTTTGTCCAATAATGACAGACAGGAAACAAAGGGCTGGCTGAAGTTCAGGAAGTAGTGAAGCTGTGCATAAAGCCTATTAAGAGCAGGACAGCGGTCACACTGAAACTCTTTCAGAGGCTCCTGGGGCATATGGCAGCCGCAGCCGCAGTAACGCCGCTCGGATTGCTTCATATGAGACCGCTTCAGCACTGGCTTCACGGCCGAGTCCCGAGATGGGCGTGGCAGAGCGGCACGTACCGGGTGCACGTCACCCCGGCCTGCACTGCCTCCAAAACTTCAGCCCGTGGTCGGACCCTTCGTTTCTACGGGCAGGTGTTCCCCTAGAACAAGTGTCCAGGCATGCTGTGGTCTTCACGGATGCCTCTGCCACTGGCTGGGGGGCCACGTACAACGGGCATACAGTTTCAGGTCTGTGGACGGGGCCCTCAACTGCATTGGCACATCAATTGCCTTGAGTTGCTCACAGTACACCTTGTACACAGTACACAGTAAAAATTCAGTTTTTCCATTTCCTGAAAAGTAGCGTTTTTGGAGATACGTGGTTTCTGCCCCAAAGTGATGATATCTAAATACTGTGGTTTCTTGAACAAGACAAAATGTAGGGTGGGATTTTATTTTGTCAATGGAGAATTGATTGGATGGTTGTGGTTTGCTATTGCTGTGATGTCATGTGCGTGACAGGTTGTCCTGTTCTCGCGCCAGTAAACACGTCATCAGAGAAGAGAAGAGATGTCGCTGCAAGAGGGAGGGACTTTTATTTTGAATAAAAATTATGAGGGCACATGCTTTTTTTTAAAACAATAATTGAAATGCATACATCAATTATAAGAAACTCTGAAATATTCAATAAAAAATAATATATTAGATAGTAATAATTGTGTAAATGTGTTAGATAGTAAGGGGTACAACTCTTGTTGAGGGAGCTCCTGATCGGCTCGAATAAAAGTGGCAAGAGCCCGGAGACCCCCGGAATCAAGCAGAGAGATGGACTAAGTTGACTATTCGACAAAGGGCATTTTCCCCGCTGATGGACTGAGTGTTTCAAGTGCCTTGCTGACAACGGGTATCTTCATTGCTGACGTGAGCTCATCTACTACATGTGATTCTACAAGCTGATATAGGGCGGTGCCGGTTTATGAGATTGTGCTGTGTTTTAACCCTTAATAAAGAATTGTGTGATAACTCTCATTCTGGTGTGCTATTCTCTGATCCCCCAAGTCCATGTGGTTGTGACAAAGTTCACTTATGGTATTGTGAGTTTTCTTGTCTCTTCCCAATTTATTCTTAATTCATGTCTTCATGCATTCAATGGTCATACAATGGTCTAACCTTATGTTTTGAAGTAGCCTATACCACCTTATGCCACAAGCAGGGTCGAGAACATTGCAAGATAATAAAGCAAAAATTCACTCAAGACTCTTTGTTACAGCAAATTTGTCATGTAAGGAAGAACGATGATTTACAGAAATGTACAGCAATGATCATCTAAATCACATGATCAACATTTTTATAGTAATATTAAAACAATAACAGAGATGCAGATAAAAAAATGTCAGTAGATGAAAATGGAATTTAGGAGGGTTAAAAATAATAGATTACTCATAAACAGAGGCAGGTTCAATACCGTTTGCTGTTATTGTGTTGCTAAACTAAGAACACAATACTCTTAAAAGCATAAAAATCAATTTCACACAAATATTGAGTAAAATTGTCAGTTTTTGATTAGACAGAATTATAAATTTTTTTTACTTTATAGTACTTTATTCACATCATGTTTTGTTTATTTCTGTTCAAGGACTCTTATTTAGATTTTTGTTCCATGGTTCCCGTGTTATTAGTTCCTGTGTTTAGTTCCTGTTTCCTTGGTTGTCATGGTTCCTAAGTATGAGCCAGTCCAATACCCTTACGGTTTTTGCAGTTGACCACTAGTCTACTACATGAATTATTTCCATAGTTTGACCAAAGTGTTCAAGTGGGCGTGAAAACGTACTCGGTTACTAACGTAACCTCGGTTCTCTCTAGAGAGGGAACGAGTACTGCGTAATAGCTTTACGCTAGGGGAAAAACTCTTTTCCACGAGATATTGAAGCCAAAAATTATCCTTAATTTTTTATTAATGTAAAACGCTTTGCAGCAGCAAGCAGACATATGCGAAACAGCTCGCGCGCCTATTGGTTGCTCTTGCGGCAAATGCAGCAGCCTATCGAGAGAGACTCTGCGTGACGTAATGACCAATGGGGGCAATTCGCGCCCATATCGTCACGTCCCGCCAGAAAGGGCGTGGTCTCACCCTATAAATATGCTCGTTAGGCTGGTACAAGCTGGTTTTTATCGCTGAAGCGAACCAGAGCGTATTCCAAGCACGGCAAGATACGCAGTACTCGTTCCCTCTCTAGAGAGAATCGAGGTTACGTTAGTAACCGAGTACGTTCTCTTACGAGAGTATCTCTCGTACTGCGTAATAGCTTTACGCTAGGGGAACACAATGCAACACGCCGTGCGTACAGGGATCCAACACCAAAGTCCCAAGGGCCGAAGCCCAGGGCTCATGTAGTGCATAATCACCATAAACTCACATAGAGTGGGGGAAGAGAGGCTGGAAGCGTCATTCCCTATAAAAAAGCACCCAGCGGGGCTATCATATGACAATAAAACGCGCAGCCAGGGTGAAAGCTTTCAGCCTGATCTGGGTGGCCATACGTGTGTCAACACTCATGGGGCTGCAGTAAACTCAGCATCTGGGCCGCACAGCGGGGCAGATAGCACTGAATTTTAGACCGCCAAAAGCTTAGCTTGTAAGGCGGGTACCTCCAGGTTATAGTATTTTATAAATGTAGACAGCGAGGCCCAGCCCGCGGCCGTACAGATATCTTGCAGGGAAACCCCGCTCGACCAAGCCCACGAAGAGGCCACGCCTCTCGTGGAGTGCGCTCTGACACCCAAGGGGCACTGTAGGCCCTTTGCAGAGTAAGCGAGCGCAATGGCATCCACTATCCATCTGGATAGGCTCTGTTTTGAGGCGGCGAGTCCCTTGGAACGCCCGCCAAACAAAACGAAAAGCTGCTCCGTCTGTCTGAAAACAGACGAGCGTGACACATAAGCTTTCAATGCCCTGACGGGGCAAAGGAGACTCGCGTCCTCCTCCTCACTGAGAACCGGAAGGGCGGACAGGGAAATTACCTGGGCCTAAACGGTGTATTGAGGGATTTCGGGACATACCCGTGCTTAGGTTTGAGAATGACCTTCGAGTCATTAGGCCCAAACTCCATACACGACGCGTTTACTGAAAGCGCCTGCCAGTCCCCTATGCGCTTCACTGAAGCGAGAGCCATGAGAAACACTGTTTTGAACGACAGGTGTTTCATGTCCACCAGCTGGATTGGCTCGAACGGGGCGCCTTTCATGGCCTCCAGGACCGTGGAAAGGTCCCACGTCGGGACTGAAGGGGGTTCAGCCTCCGAGCTCCCCTAAGGAAACGCACGACTAAGTCGTTTTTCCCCAGCGACTGGCCAGACACCGGTTTTGCAAACGTTGCTATGGCCGCCACATATACTTTGAGCGTGGATGGGGTCCTGCCCTTATCCAGTAGCTCTTGAAGGAAGGAAAGCACTTCCGAAACCCCGCATTCCACAGGTGAAAAGCTCTGGGCTTGACACCATGCAGAGAAAACAGACCATTTCGAGGAGTAGAGCCGCCTGGTAGACGGAGCTCTAGCCTGCGCGATCGTGTTTAACACTCCTTCTGGGAGGCTAGCGGGTACCCGTTGATGGCCCATGCGTGCAGGGACCACAACTCCGGGCGAGGGTGCCAAATCGAGCCCTCCGCCTGAGAGTGGAGGTCTCTCCTCAATGGTACAGGCCATGGGGCAGTGCTGGTCAGCTGCATCAGGGCAGGGAACCACGTCTGGTTTGTCCAGAGCGGAGCTACGAGCAGCACTGGGCATCCGTTCTCCCTGATTCGTTCCAACACCTGAGGCAGGAGCGAGACAGGAGGAAAAGCATATAGGGGGCAGCGGGGCCAAACATGAGCCAGCGCGTCCTTGCTTTTCGAGAAAAACTCCGGGCAATGAGCGTTTTCGTGGGACGCGAATAGGTCCACCTGTGCTCTGCCGAACGTTTTCCACAGCAGCTGGACCGTCTGCGGGTGCAGCGACCATTCCCCTGCTGGAACATTGTTCCTGGACAGTCTGTCTGGTCCCACATTCAGGTGACCAGGCACGTGCGCTGCTCTCAGTGAGAGCAGGCTGTGCTGAGCCCAGACCAGGAGGCGTTCCGTCAGCCTGTGAAGGTTTCGTGACCTGACGCCGCCCTGGCGATTTATGTATGCCACCACTGACATGTTGTCCGACCGGACCAAGACGTGGTGGCCTGTTACCTGGGGACAAAAACGCCGTAGCGCTTTGTCGACTGCTATCATCTCCAAGCAGTTTATGTGAAGGAGCTTTTCCCGTTCTGACCACAGGCCAGCTAGCGGTCTGCCCTCGAGCAGCGCTCCCCATCCCGAGGTGGAGGCGTCCGTAGACACCACCTTCACACTCGAAGCGGTCCCCAGACTCACACCTGACTGATACCAGTCGGTTATTTTCCAAGGTTCCAGAGCTGAAACACACTGTAGGTTGACCCTGAGGCGAAACAGACCCGCTGTCCATGCCCTGGGTGGAACCCGCGATTTCAGCCACATCTGCAGTGGGCGCATGCGAAGCAAGCCCCACTGGAGTACAGAGGCCGCTGAGGCCATCAGCCCCAGCATTTTCTGA